AAGAAAGGTAACATGTTAGCACCGGAACTGAGAATGATTAACCAAAAAATCTGACAATGTCTTTAGTTAACCCATTGAGCTGCAATGCACCCCAGTGCACCCTACTTATTTTTCTTTACTTGTCTAATGCCAGATGATTTTACTTGTCAATGGGGAAGCTCTGCAGTTTAATGGGTTCTAATTACTTGGAAAGTTAAGCCATTAAAGAATTGTATTGTTGGTTGCCAGTGATATCTGGTCAGAGGTGGACATGTTTGAATATTTATAGTAAAATAAAGAATGATTTTAATACTTTGTATACTTTTACTTTCTTTGTAGACGAGGCCTCTAAAGGGTATCCTTTTGATGTGCATTTATGATTTAAAAATGCAAGCTGTAACAAACCTGCAGCAGACTTGTAGAAATGCTGTTCCAACAACTTGTCAACAGGATGTGTTCGTACTGCTTGTTCCCAGCTTGTTCACAAGTTGTCAACGGCTTGTTGGCAACATGCTACAAGGTTGCTGAGATCAACAGACTTGTCAGAAGTTGTTCCAACAACTTGTTATCGTCCTGCAATTCAACAATTTGTCAACAAGTTGCGAGTGACAGCCTTGTAGCAACTTGACTAAATAACAGTGTTGTTGCGAACACATCTTGTTGACAAGTTGTGAGATTTTTACCTGTGTATATGTTTACATAATAATTCCTGACATTAATGTAACCCTTTAAGTGGCAATGTGCCCTACTTTATTCTCTTACTCTGTCTAACACCAGACGATTTTACTCATCAGGGGGAGAGTGCTGCCACTCAACGGGTTAGATAAATATTTAAGTGGGATTGTTATATTTTCTTATTTGACCCCCCCCCCAAAAAAAAAAAATGTACCAGGTTCAACCTTAACTAGCAATTAGACCTAAAGCATCTTATGGATATGGTGGGCAGTTTGGTGTTGAAAAGGACCGCATGGACAAGGTGTGTTATGTGCTATTATTATACTTATATTAAAAAAGTATCAAGATTTTGTTGGCGTCTCACTCGATTGATAATAGTTGAAGAGTACTATATTTAAAACTTGAGCAGCAGTGTTTTATCGGATATAAAGGTCTTTAGGTCTGATAAAAACACGCACTGTGAATGTTTTAAAAACGATCGATCTAGTAAGTTCATTGGCGAAGAAATTTTCAAAAAATATGTTGTGTAAGTCGAGAAAATCAAAGTTAAAGTTTATGTAAATCAAGGGAATTCTCTATCAGATACGACACGCTTATGATTTTTCTTTGTGTTTTCCTCGTGAATTATTGAGTTTTTGAAATGGTACATAAAATTACACGCAATAAGTTACATCTACAAAAGTGTCTCTCTGTAGCTCAGTTGGTTAGAGCTTGACAACTGTCTCTCTGTAGCTCAGTTGGTTAGAGCTTGACAAATGTCTCTCTGTAGCTCAGTTGGTTAGAGCTGGACAACCGTCTCTCTGTAGCTCAGTTGGTTAGAGCTGGACAACTGTCTCTCTGTAGCTCAGTTGGTTAGAGCTCGACAACTGTCTCTCTGTAGCTCAGTTGGTTAGAGCTCGACAACTGTCTCTCTGTAGCTCAGTTGGTTAGAGCTCGACAACTGTCTCTCTGTAAGTCAGTTGGTTAGAGCTCGACAACTGTCTCTCTGTAGCTCAGTTGATTAGAGCTCGACAACTGTCTCTCTGTAGCTCAGTTGATTAGAGCTCGACAACTGTCTCTCTGTAGCTCAGTTGGTTAGAACTCGACAACTGTCTCTCTGTAGCTCAGTTGGTTAGAGCTCGACAACTGTCTCTCTGTAGCTCAGTTGGTTAGAGCTTGACAACTGTCTCTCTGTAGCTCAGTTGGTTAGAGCTGGACAACCGTCTCTCTGTAGCTCAGTTGGTTAGAGCTGGACAACTGTCTCTCTGTAGCTCAGTTGGTTAGAGCTCAACAACTGTCTCTCTGTAGCTCAGTTGGTTAGGGCTCGACAACTGTCTCTCTGTAGCTCAGTTGGTTAGAGCGCTGCACCGGAATCTACAAGACTCTTCAACTATTAAAAAATTACGAGAGATACAGATATTAATTTCTTCAATCTCTCTTGCGTGTTCACAGTCTGCAGTAGGACATGATCATGTCGAAGATCTGTCGTCGCACGGTTCTCAAGTGGATGCTAAAAAAGGATTTGGAGGCAAATTTGGGGTACAGAAAGATCGTGTTGATAAGGTAGGTCGTAGCATACTGATGGATAGGTACAGTACCATCTCACAGGCCTTAAAATATCGTTGAGAGAACCGTCTGACAAAATGTTCGATGACTCTGAGTTTGAGTCGGACATAAGTATTGTGATATCCGATGACTTTGAGTTCAGTTTGGCTTGGAAATAAGTATGAATGCAGACACGAATTAATATCAGCACAATTTGGAAAAGTCATTTGAATCTTGGCATTGAGTTTACAAACCCCACGGTGAAAACCCCGCAATAGATTACACATTTCTAGTTCACTTTTTATACATTACTCTGATTCTCTATTTAACATACGAGCCTCTAGTCCTGGACTAGGGTACATTTTGATTGACGTTGGACAAAGTTACAGTTAGGTCGGATACCAATTCACTAGGATCGGACAAACAATAAACCTCAGTTTCACTCAGGTCGAACAGAATGTCCAGTGGTTTCCTCTCTACGTCGGACAATTTCACGAATGGTTCGGACAATGTCCGTGACCGACCGATATTTTAAGGCTTGTATCTCGGATCCTCATTTAAAAGGGGCAATACTGTAATATGCTCTATGTTATGGGTATATTAACTGATTGTATATTGACCTGGATTTTACCCTCGACAGTCTGCTGTAGGTTTCGAATATGAAGGAAAAACGGAAAAACATGCTTCTCAAAAAGGTATGCTCAACTAACACTTGCATGGTTGGTACAAAACTTGAATTTGAAAACAAAAACTCAAGGCTTTGAATGTCCTTGAATTTGTAAAGAAGTACTTGAAAGTCCTTATTTTTTTCTTGCTTTAGTTTTTGGATATTTTCTGAAATTGTTTGACATTCAAAAGAGAGATTTTGTTGAATTGATTTTGCATGATCATATCTCTGACGAGGCTGTTTGAAACTCATTATATATAAAGTTGAACGATTCAACGTCAGATTTTACTGATTTCTGACTCCTTTTCTTCAGTATTTTCTTCAGAATTTGCTGATATATATATACATGAACTTACGGTTACAGTTCAACAGCTGGCCTCTGTAGCTCAGTTGGTTAGAGCGCTGCACCGGAATCGCAGGGCCGTAGGTTCAATTCCTACCAGAGGACCTTGTGCTGCATTTTTCGCAGTCGTTCCTGGTCAGGTCTTAAAATGTATATATTCTCACTTGGATTACAAACCCTAAGAACAGCATTCAAATATTAATACCACCAAGTGAAGTGCAAGAAACCAGATCCTTGAATTTGACTCTCCCTCACATGACACATGTACGGATTAGATACTATTATACCATCACGAATGCAAAATAGTACCATCACAACCAAGTTTTCAACCAAGCTTGAAAGCCTGGAACTATTACTATCTGCGTAGTACTTACATTCCGTTCGTATACCATATGATCTTGCCAAGTATTTCAGAATCGTAATTAAGGTAATTCCGCAGTAATTGTTCCCGAAATGAGAATGTGCTGAAACCCAGGCATGGAGTTTATGATATATTTAAAGTAAAATCACACAAAAAAGGTCGGGGTCACCGAACTCGTTAAGAAGATATGACAATCACAATATACCACCTTTACCCCAATATGGCGACATCTTGACGCCCATTTATACGAGTAACAGCAAAATCACAACAGCCCAATATTTATTGACGTTTTTAGCGCGGATTTTGCTTTAGTAAACCTATCTTGTAATTATTTCTGAAAAAATATTGTGTTTTGAGCAAAATGAAACTACTAACGTGTACAATTCTGATCCACAAATGTCTTTTCCGCATTTCTTTACATATCTTTCTTTGAGAACATGCATTGATAAAGCATTTTTTTTCAAGATCCAGAAATGATTTTTCTTTTAATTTTGGATATGAAATGTAAAATGCATTAAAGAAATAAATTATCAGTTAAAAAACGGGGGTCACCGATCTTTTTAGGGAATTGTGGCATTAAAACGTGAAATACAAGTAAAGAAATACATTGATTTTAACGTAATTCTGTGCACGAATGTAACCAAAGATGTTTTGAAGTAACATAAAATTGTCATAAAATTGTATTTTTTTTAAACAGTATGTATAATGGATGAAATTATATAAGTTATAAGATGTGCGCAGTAAAAGTGCGCAATGCAAAACTGCGGAATTACCTTAAGTCGGTATTTGGATACATCTTGGCATGAAAAATTATTGGACTGATGGGGCCTGAGGAATGAGTCGATTCTGGTGTTCGCGTGTCCAGTTGTCGTCCTTCTTGTTCTAACTCGTGATTACTGAATGAATACCTTCCAGAAACCTGTACTTTTTATGTACATCGTTTTAAAGGACTAACATTTCATAATTTCCTTCGTTGCCAGATTATTCCCAAGGCTTTGGTGGCAAATATGGTGTTCAAAAAGATAGGGTGGACAAGGTACGCTCATTCACAACACAGATTTGTTTTTTGTTGTGATGGTCAGTTGTCTTCTCATAGTTCGTGTGTCTAGCTCATTTTGCGTCAACGTTCTTCTTATTAAGGTTACAGGACACCCTTTTGGCGTTTTGCGGAAAATCGCTACTGCGCGCTCAATATCAGTCCGATTTGAATCAAATTTTCACCAAATGTTCGCCAGTGTATGCAAAATATGGTAAAGTTGTAAAATTAACAAACAATAAAATAATATAAGAATTATTCAGGAAAATTTTAAATCGCGGTACCGTTACGCTTTTGAGTTGTGCTCCTGCTGGTTTTAAGTTATATTTATGAAAATATCATTTTTATACAGTACAATAGTTGTTGTAAAAAATTGTGTTCGGAAATTTTTGTTTATTTCGTCATTCCGCTGATATGGCGATTTCTTTGACGACTGCAATATATTTCTGAATTGTTTGAGTAAATTGCTCTTTATTATTAAAATATCCACAATTAAAAAAAAAGCCGAACACAATTTTGAAACTGACGTCTTTAGCTATGTCCTGTGAAAATTTGAGAACAATTGGTCAAAACCCGCAGGAGCACAACTCATTTGAAAATCAGTAATTACCGTAAACGTTTTCGGGAGAAAATTGAATTTGAATATTACATTTTCAATGTTTTTCTTATTGCAGCGAAATGTATTTTATTAAATAACTCTGCGAGTTTTCAACATTTTTCGTTCAAACTTGGTCAGATAGTAGAACTAGTCTAATGCTTTCATGGAAACCAATAAAAAAAATTTAGGCAAAATTAACACTCAAAGGTGTTCTGTAACCTTAAAGCTTATTAGAGAGTTTAAGCTTCGCATTAAAGGGCAAACGCCAGGCAAAGAAAAATTTTACGGTATCAGGCAGTAAAGAGTAAATGAACTTGCTGTTTTAAAACTAAAATACATCATTATTCTTTCGACGCAAGAAAGAATTACATATGAAACGAAAACGTTCAACGAAAATTTTGCCAAGAAAGTTCGAACCTGCCGTTTGCCGTTCCCGGAAACGTGAAGCTTAAGGCGGTTTTCCACGAGGCGAAAGTTTTCGATCGAATCGAAATTTTCTTTTGTCTTACAAGCACTCAGATGGAACTAAACAGAAATCTTTTGAATTTGAACAATAGAAATTTCGGTTCGATCGAAAAATTTCGCCTAGTGGAAAACCGCCTTTAAACTCCTTAAAGGCGGTTTTCCACTAGGCGAAATTTTTCGACCGAATCGAAATTTCTCTTTGTTTATGAGCTCTCGAGCAGAACTAATTGTAAAAAGACAAAGAGAAATTTCGTTTCGGTCGAAAAATTCCGCCTCGTGGAATCCGGCCTTAATATATGTACGCAGTTCATCTGGACGACGAGAATGTTTAAAGACGCCATTACTCATTAGGCGAACTATCAAGTATGATTTGTTTTCAAACCTGGTTTCCATATTGTCGTAAAAATAGATTCACGATTTTTCTCAACGGCCAGTTTAGAATAGTTTATACCTGTAAACCACATATGAATCATAAGTATTCTCTAGTTAGAATCACTCCGCGTATTTTCAGTTCTAAAATGTTGTATTTCGGCTGATGGGAAGGATCGTGACTCAATCTTTATACGACCGTTACGACCATATGGAAACCAGGCTAGTTTGTCTTCTGCTTACACCATCACTGATGATACATACTTCTTGACGACTGCCAGTGTCTGGTATAAAACTTGTCAATTTTATGCTGAGTACATATTGCTTGTTCTTTCACTAGTCAGCAGAGGGCTGGGAATATCACGCGGAGTTAGAAAAACACGAGTCGCAGACAGGTATTAATCTGTTTTCGTTGCATGCGGAGAGAAAACACATTTTAACTTCAGTACTAAATCTTCTACACACACAAAAGTCTCACATCTTGTAGCAAGTCTGCCAACAAGCCGTCAACAAGTTGTGTTCGCACTGCTTGTCCCAAGTTGTCAACAAGTTTGGAACAAGCTGTTCACAACTTGTAACAACCTTGTTGATATTATCAGACTTGTTGCAAGGTTGTTCCAACAAGTCCGATACAGTCATGATGTAACAATATTGTTACAACCTTGTGTCGTCAACCTTGTAACATTCTTGCTATATCATGACTGTATCAGACTTGTTAGAACAACCTTGTAACATTCGTTTTATATCATGACTGTATCAGACTTGTTAGAACAACCTTGTAACATTCGTTTTATATCATGACTGTATCAGACTTGTTAGAACAACCTTGTAACATTCGTTTTATATCATGACTGTATCAGACTTGTTAAAACAACCTTGTAACATTCTTGTTATATCATGACTGCATCAGACTTGTTAGAACAACCTTATACCATTCTTGTTATATCATGACTGCATCAGACTTGTTAGAACAACCTTGTAACATTCTTGTTATATCATGACTGTATCAGACTTGTTAGAACAACCTTATACCATTCTTGTTATATCATGACTACATCAGACTTGTTAGAACAACCTTGTAACATTCTTGTTATATCATGACTGTATCAGACTTGTTAGAACAACCTTGTAACATTCTTGTTATATCATGACTGTATCAGACTTGTTAGAACAACCTTGTAACATTCTTGTTATATCATGACTGTATCAGACTTGTTAGAACAACTTTGTAACATTCTTGTTATATCATGACTGTATCAGACTTGTTAGAACAACCTTGTAACATTCTTGTTATATCATGATTGTATCAGACTTGTTAGAACAACCTTGTAACATTCTTGTTATATCATGACTGTATCAGACTTGTTAGAACAACCTTGTAACATTCTTGTTATATCATGACTGTATCAGACTTGTTAGAACAACCTTGTAATATTCTTGTTATATCATGTCTGCATCAGACTTTATAACAAACGTACTTGCAGGGAGGTGCGTCCAATCCCGGACTCACCGAACCTGCAAGTACGTTTGGTTTTTATCCCATACACCGAGCCATACACACATTTGTAGCTCTTCGCGATATATTCGTCGTCTCGTCGATGTTTTGTGAACATTTTCCCGGCCAAAAAAATCACTGGGCAAGAAAATACTTCTTTATCTACGTCTACATTACCTTTACTGCATTTTTCTTTGGTTTTTCTTCAGTCTCAGTATGTTAGTCACCGAAAAAAGTTCTTTAAAGTTTAGGTTTATCGGCTAAATCTTGTCCGCCATATTTGTTATTGTTATTGCAACGTAAGCAGTTTAGCGGGTGAGTTCGGGCGAAAAGCAGGTGAGCTCGACGACAAGCTCACCTGCTCTAAACCAATCAGAAAGCCGCTTTTAACACAGGTATGGGATAAGTTATAGAACAACCTCATAACAAGTCTGATAATGCCATCAAGCTTGTTACAAGTTGTTAACAACTTGTTCCAAACTTGTTACAACAACTGGGAACAAGCAGTGCGAACACAACTTGTCGACAGCTTGTGAACAGATTTGTAACAACTTGTTTGCAGACCTGTAACAACTTGTGCGTTTTTACGCGTGTACAGTATGTACAGTAGCTTAAATATTTTTCATTTTGTAACCAAGATTATAGTAAAGGATTTGGCGGCAAATATGGAATTCAGAAAGATCGCGTGGACAAGGTATTTATTTTAAAGTAAATGTGCTATTAGGGTCTGGTCATAAAATAACTGCTACGGTGGGCTGGAGGTAAATCACAAATTTTGCCAATAAGTTTGGTGACCCATCTTAGGATGTGGATAAAAACTTCAAAGCCCATCTAATCTTACCAAATTTATTTCATGACCCACCCACCCAATCTAAATTGGGAAAATACACTTTTATAATAAACCAAGTTGACCAACATAATTGCACCAAGTTGACCAACAAATTCATCACCAATTACGATACTGAACTGTTCTCCATTTGGTTGTATTTGCTGTGATTCGGCCACTTCTTGTTGTTGTATAAAACAAAGTATTGGCTTCAATAATAACATTTGCATTTAATAATTTGGATAGTTTTGTTTACTTCTATTATTAATTTAATATCCGCCCATGTTGGGTTTTTGTTTGGTGGCCCAACCGTGAACATACAAAAAAATTGGCGGCCCATCGAAACTGCCCAAAGATTTTCCATGGCCCATCCCAAATCACTCCAGCCCACCCTAGCAGTTACTTTATGACCGGTCCCTTATACGAAAAGTTACGAGAATTTTACCTAGGAGCGGTCCACAACTTTCGCTCATGATGGCCTCATTCTTTACCACTATACCAAGATGTCAACGACGGAACCAGCTAACAAATTACAAGACTTCTATATTCTATTCTGCATTGTACTAGTTGTATGTAGATTTTTGGATATCACCCTATGTTACAAAATATTATCAAAATATGAATATTAAGTTTTATGGGGAGCGGTTTGGAGACTTTTTGGAAAAATAATGGCAAAAAGAAATAAAAAAATATATACAAAAAGTTATGAGAATTTTACCTGGGAGCGGTCAGCAACTTTCGCTCATGATGGCCTAATTCTTTACCACTATACCATGATGTCAACGATACAAGACTTCAGTATTCTATTTTCCGTTGTACTAGCTGTATGTAGATTTTTTGGATTTCACCCTACATGAGATTCTCTTCATCGTAATACATCGTTGGTTCATCCCTCGTCATCGTCGGTTAAATCGACTCAAAATTGTCCAAATATACAAAATATTATCAAAAAATGACTATTAGGTTGTTATGAGGAGCGATTTGGAAACTTTTGGAAAAAATAATGGCAAAAAGAAATAAAAAAATATATATACAAAAAGTTATCCGAATTTTACCTGGAAGCGGTCCACAACTTTCGCTCATGCTGGCCTAATTCTTTACCACTATACCATGATGTCAACGATGGACGCAAGTAACAAATTACAAGACTTCAGTTTTCTATATCAGTTCCCGTTGTACTAGTTGTATGTAGATATTTTGGTTTTGACCCTACATGAGATTCTCTTCATCGTTGGTTCATCCCTCGTCATCGTTGGTTAAATCGATTCAAAATTGTCCAAATATACAAAATAGTACCAAAAATTGACTATTAGGTTGTTATGAGGAGCGATTTGGAGACTTTTGGGAAAAATAATGGCAAAAAGAAATAAAAAATATATATACAAAAAGTTATGAGAATTTTACCTGGGAGCGGTCCACAACTTTCGCTCATGATGGCCTAATTCTTTACCACTATACCATGATGTCAACGATGGAAGCAAGTAACAAATTACAAGACTTCAGTATTCTATATCAGTTTCCGTTGTACTAGCTGTATGTAGTAGATTTTTTGGATTTCACCCTACATAACATTCTCTTCATCGTTGGTTCATCCCTCGTCATCGTTGGTTAAATCGACTCAAAATTGTCCAAATATACAAAATATTATCAAAAAATTACAATTAGGTTGTTATGAGGAGCGATTTGGAGAATTTTGGGGAAAAAAATGGAAAAAGAAATAAAAAAATATATATATACGAAAATTTATGAGAATTTTACCTGGGAGCGGTCCGCAACTTTCGCTCATGATGGCCTAATTCTTTACCACTATACCATGATGTCAACGATGGAAGCAAGTAATAAATTACAAGACTTCAGTATTCTATTTTCCGTCGTAGCCTACTAGCTGTTTGTAGATATTTCGGATTTCACCCTACATGAGATTCTCTTTATCGTTATACATCGTTGGTTCATCCCTCGTCATCGTTGGTTAATTCGACTCAAAATTGTCCAAATATACAAAATATTATCAATAAATATTTTTGTAGGTTGTCATGAGAAGCGATTTAGAGACTTATGGGAAAAATAATGGCAAAAAGAAATAAAAAAATATATATACAAAAGGTTATGAAAATTTTACCTGGGAGCGGTCCACAGCTTTCGCTCATGATGGCCTCATTCTTTACCACTATACCAAGATGTCAACGATGGAAGCAGCAAACAAATTACAATACTTCTATATTCTATGTTGCATTGTACTAGTTGTATGTAGATTTTTTCGGATTTCACCGCGCATTACAAAATATTATCAAAATATGAATATTAAGTTTTATGAAGACTGATTTGGAGAATTTTTGGAAATATCATGCAAAAAGAAATAAAAAAAAATTATACGAAAAGTTTCGAAAGTTTTACCTGGGAATGGTCCACAACTTTCGCTCATGCTTACCTCAGTCTTTACCACTATACCATGATGTCAACGATGGAAGCAAGTAACAAATTACAAGACTTAAATATATTGCGTTACACCAGATGTATGTCAGTAGATTTTTTCGTCGGTTAAATCGAATTAAAATTGTCCAAATACACAATATATTATCAAACTATGAGTATTAAGCTGCTATGAGGATTAGTACTCCATGTAATTCAGTTTTTCCTTTAAATACTCCAAATTGGTTTTAATTAAACAGATTGATTGATTATAGATTCCGCTACGCTTACCCGTCCAAAAAACGACTTGGATTTCGGGCTGATCGAAAAAAATTTTTCGTCATAGACCGACTTAGAAATGTTCAAAACGCATAATGATGCAGAAAATTTTGGCTCAGGAGAATTTTAAAGCACATTTTGATATATAAACTTTCATACAGTATACGCATGCAAATGAATCCTTATCCGTCTAATCATTATACATGCTATTACGCTTACCCGTTACCTGGATCAGTCTCGAGTCAACTAAAGTTTGAGACTTAGAAAATTTCGGGCTGATGGAAAACATTTTTTCGTCTTGGACCGACTTAGAAATGTTCAGAGCACATAATGATGCAGAAAGTTTTGGCTCAGGAGAATTTTAAAGCACATTTTGACATATAAACTTTCATACAGCATACGTATGCAAATGAATCCTTATCCGTCTATCATTATAAACACTATTACGCTTACCCGTTATCCGGATCGGAGTAGCTAACAGTCGTGGGCAAAATGTCGTGGGTCGTGGGTAAAAGGTCATGGGTCCCGAGAAAAAAGTCGTGGGTCCTGAGAAAAAGGTCGTGGGACCCAAATAAAAAGTCGTGGTTCCAGAGAAAAACGTCGTGGGTTCCGAGCGAAATGTGGAAAAATAATGGCAAAAAGAAATAAAAAAAATTATACGAGAAGTTACGAAAACTTTACCTGGGAACGGTCCACAGCTTTCGTTCGTGATGACCTCAGTCTTTACCACTAAACCATAATGTCAACGATGGAAGCAGGTAATAAATTATAATACTTCAATATTCTATTTTGCATTGTACTACTTGTATGTCCATCTTTGGATTTCACCCTACATTACAAAATATTATCAAAATAGAATATTAAGTTTTAAGAGGAGCGAGTTGGAGACTTGGGGAAAAATAATGGCAAAAAGAAATGAAGAAAAAATTATACGAAGAGTTACGAAACTTTTACCTGAGAATGGTCCACGGGCTTAGTCTTTACCACTATACCAAGATGTCAACGACGGAAACAAGTAACAAATTACAAAACTTCAGTATTCTATTTTCCTTTGTACTAGCTGTATGTCGATTTTTTGGATTTCACCCTACATGAGATTCTCTTCATCGTTATACATCGTTGGTTCATCCCTCGTCATCGATGGTTAAATCGACTCAAAATTGTCCAAATATACAAAATATTATCAATAAATGATTATTAGGTTGTCATGAGAAGCAATTTGCAGACTTTTGGGAAAAATAATGGCAAAAAGAAATAAAAAAATATATACAAAAAATCATGATAATTTTACCGGGAAGCGCTCCGCAGCTTTCGCTCATGCTGGCCTAATTCTTTACCACTATACCATGATGTCTACGATGGAAGCAAGTAACAAATTACAAGACTGCAGTATCATATTTTCCGTTGTATTAGCTGTATGTAGATATTTTGGATTTCACCCTACATGAGATTCTCTTCATCGTTATACATCGTTGGTTTATCCCTCGTCATCATTGGTTAAATCGATTCAAAATTGTCCAAATATACAAAATATTATCAAAAAATGATTATTAGGTTGTTATGAGGAGCGATTTGAAGACTTTTCGGAAAAATAATGGGAAAAAGAAATAAAAAAAATATATACAAAAGTTATGAGAATTTTACCTGGGAGCGGTCCACAACTTTCGCTCATGATGGCCTAATTCTTTACCACTATACCATGATGTCAACGATGGAAGCAAGTAACAAATTACAAGACTTCAATATTCTATTTCAGTTTCCGTTGTACTAGCTGTATGTAGATATTTTGGATTTCACCCTACATGAGATTCTCTTCATCGTTATACATCGTTGGTTCATCCCTCGTCATCGTTGGTTAAATCGATTCAAACTTGTCCAAATATACAAAATATTATCAAAAAATGACTATTAGGTTGTTATGAGGAGCGATTTGGAGACTTTTGTGAAGAATAATGGCAAAAAGAAATAAAAAAAATATATACAAAAGTTATGAGAATTTTACCTGGAAGCGGTCCACAACTTTCGCTCATGATGGCCCAATTCTTTACCACTATACCATGATGTCAACCGCGATGGAAGCAAGCAACAAATTACAAGACTTCAGTTTTCTATATCAGTTTCCGTTGTACTAGTTGTATGTAGATATTTTGGATTTCACCCTACATGAGATTCTCTTCATCGTTATACATCGTTGGTTCATCCCTCGTCATCGTTGGTTAAATCGATTCAAACTTGTCCAAATATACAAAATATTATCAAAAAATGACTATTAGGTTGTTATGAGGAGCGATTTGGAGACTTTTGTGAAGAATAATGGCAAAAAGAAATAAAAAAAATATATACAAAAGTTATGAGAATTTTACCTGGAAGCGGTCCACAACTTTCGCTCATGATGGCCCAATTCTTTACCACTATACCATGATGTCAACCGCGATGGAAGCAAGCAACAAATTACAAGACTTCAGTTTTCTATATCAGTTTCCGTTGTACTAGTTGTATGTAGATATTTTGGATTTCACCCTACATGAGATTCTCTTCATCGTTATACATCGTTGGTTCATCCCTCGTCATCGTTGGTTAAATCGATTCAAAATTGTCAAAATATACAAAATATTATCAAAAAATGACTATCAGGTTGTTATGAGGAGAGATTTGGAGACTTTTGGGAAAAATAATGGCAAAAAAAAATTTTAAAAATATATACAAAAAGTTATGAGAATTTTACCTGTGAGCGGTCCACAACTTTTGCTCATGATGGCCTAATTCTTTACCACTATACCCAGACATTCCAACCACTGGAGGTAAAAATTAGGGAGACTGTTCAGTGAATTGAAATCTAGTTCTTCTGGGAAAAAATAATAAAAATTAAGTCTTCTGAAATGGCGTTTCCGGCATTTTGGGAATATGTTGTTATAAGTGATCCTATAAATTGCCATAAAGCAACTTCAAAAAAGGTCAAGACAGACTATTATGTTGCTAAAAATAGTATATTTATAATTTAGTTTATGATATTTCCTGAATATTCTGAAAAATCGGGAGAATTTGATAAAAATCGGGAGACCGGGAGATTGCATGAATTTTCGGGACAATCCCGGTAAAATCGGGAGAGTTGGAATGTCTGTGTATGCTATACCATGTCAACGATGGAAGCAAGTAACAAATTACAAGACTTCAGTATTCTATTTCAGTTTCCGTTGTACTAGCTGTATGTAGTAGATTTTTTGGATTTCACCCTACATGAGATTCTCTTCATCGTTATACATCGTTGGTTTATCCCTCGTCATCGTTGGTTAAATCGACTCAAAATTGTCCAAATACACAAAATATTATCAAAAAATGACTATCAGGTTGTTATGAAGAGCGATTTGGAGAATTTTGGGAGAAAAAAATGGCAAAAAGAAATAAAAAAATTTATATACAAAAAGTTATGAGAATTTTACCTGTGAGCGGTCCACAACTTTCGCTCATGCTGGCCTAATTCTTTACCACTATACCATGATGTCAACGATGGAAGCAAGTAACAAATTACAAGACTTCAATATTCCATTTTCCGTTGTACTAGCTGTATGTAGTAGATTTTTTGGATTTCACCCTACATGAGATTCTCTTCATCGTTGGTTCATCCCTCGTCATCGTTGGTTAAATCGATTCAAAATTGTCCAAATATACAAAATATTATCAAAAAATGACTATTAGGTTGTTATGAGGAGCGATTTGGAGACTTTTGGGAAAAATAATGGCAAGAAGAAATAAAAAATATATATACAAAAAGTTATGAGAATTTTACCTGGGAGCGGTCCGCAACTTTCGCTCATGATGGCCTAATTCTTTACCACTATACCATGATGTCAACGATGGAAGCAAGTAACAAATTAGAAGACTTCAATATTCCATTTTCCGTTGTACTAGCTGTATGTAGTAGATTTTTTGGATTTCACCCTACATGAGATTCTCTTCATCGTTGGTTCATCCCTCGTCATCGTTGGTTAAATCGATTCAAAATTGTCCAAATATACAAAATATTATCAAAAAATGACTATTAGGTTGTTATGAGGAGCGATTTGGAGACTTTTGGGAAAAATAATGGCAAGAAGAAATAAAAAATATATATACAAAAAGTTATGAGAATTTTACCTGGGAGCGGTCCGCAACTTTCGCTCATGATGGCCTAATTCTTTACCACTATACCATGATGTCAACGATGGAAGCAAGTAACAAATTACAAGACTTCAGTATTCTATTTCAGTTTCCGTTGTATTTGCTGTATGTAGATATTTTGGATTTCACCCTACATGAGATTCTCTTCATCGTTATACATCGTTGGTTCATCCCTCGTCATCGTTGGTTAAACCGATTCAAAATTGTCCAAATATACAAAATATTATCAAAAAATGACTATCAGGTTGTTATGTGGAGCGATTTGGAGACTTTTGGTAAAAATAATGCCAAAAAGAAATAAAAAAATTGATATACAAAAAGTTATGAGAATTTTGGCCTAATTCTAATAATGGCCTAATTCTTTACCACTATACCATGATGTCAACGATGGAGGCAAGTAACAAATTACAATTAAGACATCAGTATTTTATATCAGTTTCCGTTGTACTAGCTGTAAGTAGTAGATTTTTTGGATTTCACCCTACATGAGATTCTCTTCGTTGGTTCATCCCTCGTCATCGTTGGTTAAATCGGTTCAAAATTGTCCAAATATACAAAATATTATAAAAAAATGACTATTAGGTTGTTATGAGGAGCAATTTGAAGACTTTTTTGAAAAATAATGGCAAAAAGAAATAAAAAAATATATACAAAAAGTTATGAGAATTTTACCTGGGAGCAGTCCGCAACTTTCGCTCATGATGGCCTAATTCTTTACCACTATACCATGATGTCAACGATGGAAGCAAGTAACAAATTAGAAGACTTCAGTATTCTATTTTCCGTTGTACTAGCTGTATGTAGATTTTTTGGATTTCACCCTATACGAGATTCTCTTCATCGTTATACAACGTTGGTTCATCCCTCGTCATCGATGGTTAAATCGACTCCAAATTGTCCAAATATACAAAATATTATGAAAAATGACTATTAGGTTGTTATGAGGAGCAATTTGAAGACTTTTTTGAAAAATAATGGCAAAAAGAAATAAAAAATATATATACAAAAAGTTATGAGAATTTTACCTGGGAGGGGTCCGCAACTTTCGCTCATGATGGCCTAATTCTTTACCACTATACCATGATGTTACCGATGGAAGCAAGTAACAAATTAGAAGACTTCAGTATTCTATTTTCCGTTGTACTAGCTGTATGTAGATTTTTTGGATTTCACCCTATACGAGATTCTCTTCATCGTTATACAACGTTGGTTCATCCCTCGTCATCGATGGTTAAATCGACTCCAAATTGTCCAAATATACAAAATATTATGAAAAATGACTATTAGGTTGTTATGAGGAGCAATTTGAAGACTTTTTTGAAAAATAATGGCAAAAAGAAATAAAAAATATATATACAAAAAGTTATGAGAATTTTACCTGGGAGGGGTCCGCAACTTTCGCTCATGATGGCCTAATTCTTTACCACTATACCATGATGTCACCGATGGAAGCAAGTAACAAATTAGAAGACTTCAGTATTCTATTTTCCGTTGTACTAGCTGTATGTAGATTTTTTGGATTTCACCCTACATAAGATTCTCTTCATCGTTTATATACATCGTTGGTTCGTCCCTCGTCATCGTTGGTTAAATCGACTCAAAATTGTCCAACTATACAAAATATTATAAAAAAATGACTATTATGTTGTTATGGGGAGCGTTAGGAGAATTTTGGGAAAAATAATGGCAAAAATAAGAAGTAAAAAAAATATATACGGCCTCATTCTTTACCACTATACCATGATGTCAACGATGGAAGCAAGTAACAAATTAGAAGACTTCAGTATTCTATTTTCCGTTGTACTAGCTGTATGTAGATTTTTTGGATTTCACCCTATACGAGATTCTCTTCATCGTTATACAACGTTGGTTCATCCCTCGTCATCGATGGTTAAATCGACTCCAAATTGTCCAAATATACAAAATATTATGAAAAATGACTATTAGGTTGTTATGAGGAGCAATTTGAAGACTTTTTTGAAAAATAATGGCAAAAAGAAATAAAAAATATATATACAAAAAGTTATGAGAATTTTACCTGGGAGGGGTCCGCAACTTTCGCTCATGATGGCCTAATTCTTTACCACTATACCATGATGTCACCGATGGAAGCAAGTAACAAATTAGAAGACTTCAGTATTCTATTTTCCGTTGTACTAGCTGTATGTAGATTTTTTGGATTTCACCCTACATAAGATTCTCTTCATCGTTTATATACATCGTTGGTTCGTCCCTCGTCATCGTTGGTTAAATCGACTCAAAATTGTCCAACTATACAAAATATTATAAAAAAATGACTATTATGTTGTTATGGGGAGCGTTAGGAGAATTTTGGGAAAAATAATGGCAAAAATAAGAAGTAAAAAAAATATATACGGCCTCATTCTTTACCACTATACCATGATGTCGACAATGGAAGCAGGTAAGAAATTACAAGACTTCTATATTCATTGGGAAAAATAATGGCGCAAAGAAATAAGGATGAGCCAAACATTATTAATTATAGATCGTTATCGGCTTATTTTAAGAACATTTGCGTGTTTCAACAACTTGTAATCTATCCTTATGTCGTCCTAATTTGTACTATGCTGCTTAATTTTTTATCGATATAATCATGAATGGATATGCCGAAGTAGTCAACGCCAACGGCATAACCATCAAAGTTGAATGGTTATGCCGAAGACAATCAATCAATCGATCAATTTTGCCAAAGACAGTCAACGGCATAACCATCCAAGTTCAATGGTTCTGCCGAACATATTCAACGGCATAAACATCTAAGTTGAATGCTTATGTCGAACATATTCGACGCCATAAACATCATCTAAGTTGAATGTCTATAAGAACGAGTTCCATATTATTCAGACAGTGTAATCCACCAACAAAAAATTCCTTGGCTTGAGCGGGATTAGAACGTCGCACTTTCGGGTACCTAGGGCGCCGCTCTACCCACTGAGGTATCGAGTCAACGGGGATTGGTAGCGAGTCTTATCCGATGATAGAGTTTCTCCTATGCCGAACTTATACAACGGCGTAAACAAAACGGCAAACTTATACAACGGCGTAAACATCTATCAGTTGAATGCTTGTGCCGAATATATACAGCGGCACAACCATCCAAGTTGAATGGTTATGCCGAAGACAGTCAACGGCATAACCATCCAAGAACGTTGAGTGGTTATAGTGCATGGTTATACCGAAGACATGCAGTGAAAGGCATAACCATCCAAGTTAAATGGCTATGCCGAAGACATTCAACAGCATAAACATCCAAGTTGAATGTCCGTTCGAACATATTCAACGGCATAAACATTTATAAGTTGAATTCTTATGCCGAACATATTCAACGGCATAACCTTCCAAGTTGAATGGTTATGGCGAGGACAGTCAACGGCATAATCATCCAAATTAGGGCTATGTTTGGCTTTAGAACATAGTCAACTTATAACATATTCAACTTATAGATGTTTATGTCGTTAAATATGTATGTTTATAGATGTTTATGTCGTTATATAAATTGGCGAAATTATGCGACGTTAGGCGACCATTGGCCCCCAAAGTTGGCCTCAGTAAGGAACATCTCTTTTTGATCCAGTGTTACTACAGGAAGAAACCTAAACTAAACTAACTTTATTTATACTGGATAGCTCTATCAGTTCTAAACTGTTCTTCCTAGAGGTCCAGTAAGGATCATCTCTTATTGATCCAGTGTTACTACAGGAGGAAACCTAAACTAAACTATATTTATGCTGGGTAGCTCTATCAGTTCTAGAAATAAGGGCCATCTCTTACTGTTCCAATGTTAATACTGCAGGACGAAACAAACTTTGGCCGTCTATTTTTAATTTCAGCGCTTAATCTCATGAGAAAACTGTGATCCAGGGGATTCCCATATGACGTCATACTTACCAAATGCCACCGCAAAATTGACCAAACTTATCAAAGCCAGGCATGTAACCCCAGAAGCACAGGACAGTGGCTACACCAAATTCTTTTCTAGATGATTGTGAATTTAATACAGAATGCGAAAAAATACAACAATGCTACAAATATAAAATAAACTATCATGCACGTATAAACCTATTTATTATTAGCATGACAAAATTACTGGATGCTGATTGGTTGAGAGGAGCACAATTATTTCATTAATTGTACTGCAGTACAAACAAAACAAAAAACAAACAAAATAGCGGAAAGGTATTTTAAACACACGCGTGAAATGAAATTGCCGTGGAGGAACTAGATGAAAATACGAACAAAAGCACCAACTTTTGCTTGAACAAAAGAACTAAATGAAAATACAAACAAAAGCACCACATTTTGGTTGAAAGAGTGGCAGAAATTGGTTTTGGCGAGAGAATATGATTTTGACATTGAGAAGTACGTATCCAATTTTGTCATGCTAATAATAAACAAGTAATCATGCGATGTTGCTCGTACAATTAGGGATTAATAGTACTCGTGATGTTTGGAGATTTGCCAAATTGGACACGCCCCGGCGGCTCGTCCAAATTTGGCAAAATTTCCAAACATCACTCGTACTATTAATCCCTAATTGTACTCGCCATCGCATGATTGCCTACACTAAAATTGTTTAAATAGAAGATTATTTTAACTCTCGACTTCCCATTCTTGATCATGAAGGAGAGTGTGATCTTGTTGGGTGCTTGACGATATAGAACTATAGCGGTTACAGCACAACGTGTGCTTTGAAGGAAAACAAGAACAGTCTTGAAGAACGGAATTCCTGAAAAAAATATTGATATATGAAAAAACATACTCCGAGTAATATTTTATTACTGAATCGAGTGAGATCTGCACGGATTCAGACTGGGATGAATGTAAACACAAATACATTTCAGACCGGTCTCGGCTGTAACCTTGACATTGGAACAACACATGCTAACAAAAGTCATCTAAAAAAGAAAATTGCCTGGCAAGGGGAATAAATTGAAAATTTTATGATTTTCGTATCGGTCTCATGTAAACATGTTGACAATTTCAATTTTCATTCCGGTTTAATTTGACTTCGTCCCGATCTCATGGGGCCTTAGTAAGTAGGTACTAGGAAGAAAATACTGTAATCTCGCTAGCATGAAAGATATATCTATCATCCACATCATACATGCATTAAAACTAGATTTATTGTATACAATAACAGGGATTTTCAGGGATTTTTAGGGCCGTTAAACGGCCCCAAAAACTCAATCTTGAATTTCAATCTCAATCTTCTCACCAAAGTTTCAGTGCAGTAAAAATGAAGTTGTTTGAGTTAAATTTGTGACGTGTGGAAATTAGTCTTCAGTTGGAAACCCGATGCTGGAATCCATCTCACAATACAAGAAAAACTTATGCGTTCGCCATCTTTAACCAGTTTATAGTGTCCCTGCTTTAACACATTCCATCTCAACTACATTTATTGAGTACAAGTGTCAGCCCCCCGGTAGGTGGACAGGTGCAGCCACCCCAGCTGTTCAGCTAAACTCAATCTTCTCTGCAAAAATGGGCCCAAGACAAAATCCTGAAAAAAACCCTGAATAAAATGTTTAAAACTCTAAACCAGAACAATAGGTTTTGACTGGAAATAAGAACAATGAAGTTAAGAACAACTTCAGCGGTTCAGCCTGAAGTCAAAATTCACTGGTTCTTTTGCGTGGCTTTACTGTATAAAAATTATTTAAAAATGGTAACCCAACCTCGTTGAAAATAAAGCATTTATTTCTTCCAAGGAACGATTCTTTGTCTCAGGAACAAATTTATAAATAAAAATAATAGCAACAATTCCGAGAATACCATAAACAAAAAATGTCCACGAAACACCAACAGAATCTGTAGGAAAAAATGACAAAGTAAAGTTAACAGACTATAGTGATTGTAGCCAAAACTGAGCTGAACTGCAAGGGAAGCACTGCTTGTTCCCAGTTGTTGTGACAAGTCTGAAACAAGTTGTTATCATCTTGTTACAAGGCTGATGACGGTAACAGACTTGCAACAAGTTGTTCCAACAAGACTAATACAGGCTGTTCGTAACAATTTCCTACGGGCTTGTTATCATCAACTTGTTAACAACTTGTTACGTGTAGACGATATCAGACTTGTTGGAACAACTAGTTGAGAGTCTGTTAACCCCATTGTTACAAGATGATACATTTTTTTGGAACAAACATGCAGTGCGAACACATCTTGTTGACAAGCTGTGAGAGTTATACGCGTGTTTATAGTCTATTATTTTTTTCGTTTTCGGCAAATAGCTTCATTACTTCTCAATATAGCTTAACCGAATACAAACTGCATTATACGCTTACGATGCTAACCTATCAGATCCAACATAGTTAGCGAGACAACAAGATTTGAACTCCAGTTGAGGACAGTCGTTGCAGCAAATGCACGTCCTTTGATGGAAGTTGGGAAAATTTCACTCAACATCAACCAACCAACTATATAATTGATATAAATAATTGTCAGTACCAATAAAGCTATCCAGTATAAATAAAGTTAGTTTAGTTCAGGTTTCCTTCTGTGGTAACACTGGATCCATTTAAGAGATGATTCTTACCGGACTTCTAGGGAGAACAGTTTAGGACTGATATAGCTATCCATGCAGTATAAAGAAAGTTACTTTAGTTTATAGGTTTCCTCCAGTAGTGACAATGGATCAATTTAAGAGATGATCTTTACTGGACTTCTAGGAAGAACAACTGATAAAGCTATCCAGTACAAAATAAATTTTACTTTGCTAGTTTCTCACCTGGTCCATAGCCTGAAGAATATCCTCCAGCGAATGCCATAAGTGAGAAAACTGTCACATATTTGACCACATTTGGCATTTCACCTTCATAGCTGCTTGTCGTAGACTGATTTTTTGTTGTAGAATTTGTCTTGACGTTGCTTGTAGTTGGCCGAGGAGAGCAAACAAGTATCCCTTTGTCTTGATCTTTGCCCAGTTCAGTTGATGTAGACAGCAACGGTGAATTGCTATGAATAACACTGGCCGGAGTTGGAGAATTATACTGGGTGAATGGTGTTCTCGTTTTAGAAAGACTAAAATTCCAGTTTTGAGTCTTCTGCAGATCATGATGCGATTGCGTGTTATATATTGGTAGGGTAGTAAAAGACGGTTGTCCAGACAGCCCGATACTTTTACCCAAGTGATGTGAACTGGGTTGATTATTAAAAATATATGTACAAGTGGTAGTATTGATTGAATAGGAAGGAACGAGAGTAAGGTTTGTATGAACGTTGTGATGCTTTGGAGCGCTTTCACAGATTTCTTGATGGTAAGATCCCGGGAAACAAAATGTGACTGTATAAAGTAAACATATACTAACGGTCATTATAATGGAACCAAATAGCAGGAAGCGACGGCGACCTGAAATGCAAAAGATATAATTAAGGCCGCGTTTAGACTGGGTGCCCGGCACTGGGGTCTGTTACTTGTTTTGGTGCCTAGTTTGAATACGACGCTTCCAAATGAAATTGGGCACAGTGCCCAAGAAAGGGCACAACTTCTACAGGTAGTACTCAACAACGTCACTGTGCTCAACATGTTTTGGAAACCAGTTTGAAGATTGGGCACCAGTCTGAACGCATGCAGCCTACGACACATTCGATTTGTTCATATGGGTGGGTTCTAATAAGCATTACAGCGCGACAGATGATAGTAAAATTCAGTACTGTTGGAAGCAAGCCCGAAAGGGGGAGAGGGCTTATTTACTTCACTGAGTACATGGGTAATCCAAATGATAATATATATTTAGGTGGCTGGACATTTTGCCGAAAGACACTTTGCCGAAAGACATTTTGCCGAAAGACATTTTGCCGAACGGACATTTTGCCGAACGGACGTTTTGCCGAACGGACGTTTTGCCGAACGGACATTTTGCCGAACGGACATTTTGACGAACGGACATTTTGCCGAAAATAGAGATATCTTCTGAACTTTAAAGGTTCGCTTACACGGTCAAAGTTTCTGTGATTAAAGTCATTAATTGTCGATTTTGATGACAGAAACTTTGATAGTGAAGTATAGTTTCGTTTTATATTCTTTCAAGTTTTTGACAAGTTTACCGAAAATTCGCGATATAAAGAATAACATCATTCAACATCATTCATGAATGTGATTTCCCCGAAAACTGTGAATGTATGCATGATTCTCGAAGTGAAATTCGCTTACGTCGCCTTTATATTCGCTTGTTTGTTTACGATCTGACGTCAAAGCACCAACAAGCTACCAACAAGCTACAAAGCACCAACAAGCTACCAATAGTCAATATGGTTTTGCACTGCTAACAACCATTATGCACGGCTAATGACCCATTATATATGCACTGCTAATGACCATATAATGGTTATTTTACACAATGGTTGAGAATTACACAGTTGAGAAATGAGTCACAGTCCCAAACATTTTGACGAAATAACATCTTTATTTTCGGCAAGTTGTCCTTTCGGCAAATTGTCCTTTCGGCAAACTGTCCGTTCGGCAAAATGTCCGTTCGGCAAAATGTCCGTTCGGCAAAATGACCGTCGGCAAAATGTCCGTTCGGCAAAATGTCTTTCGGCAAAGTGTCTTTCGGCAAAGTGTCTTTCGGCAAAGTGTCTTTCGGCAAAGTGTCTTTCGGCAAAATGTCCGGGTACCATATACTTAGACAATATTTAGATCTAACCAGGAACAGTTGTGAAAAAATGCAACACAAGGTCCCTGGCAGGAATTGAACCTGCGCCCCTGCGATTCCGGTGCAGCGCTCTAACCAACTGAGCTACAGAGGCCAGTTGTCGAGCTCTACCACAAGTTTTTGTATATAACATCTTTGGGGGTGGGTCCTGTAAAATTCATTCACGTAAAATTGCAGGTTTAATAATCTGATAAAAGCGTATGTGTTTCTTTGTTCAAAGGGAAGACAAGGTTTCGTAGACAGGGGGCATAATTTTTCCTTCAAACGGGGGAGAGGGGGGCTTACAGTGTTCACCTTTGTTACAAACCTGCTTTATCCACCAAAAACAACGTAATAATTGTCGCAAAAAACTGCAAGAAAAACGTGCAGATTATAAATGTACAAATTAATATCGAGCATCGTTCTGTTTCCACATGCCAAGTCATGATCCACATTTTGATTTTAGAGAGAATATAAATGTGTTACACAGATTGTATCATCATATATGATCACAAATTATTCAACAACATAATTCACTATAAATCGTTATAAAAACGAATATAATAGAGCCCGCTGTATTTGAGAACTCACCTTAGTCAGACCAATTCCTACAGTCGCCAAAGTAGCTGCAGAATGTGAACGAAATCCAATATTCTCAAAAATAGACGGTGCGTAATACAACACACTGGGCTGACCTGTAAACTAAACGATGGATTATCCATCAGTCAACTGCGTTATTCAGACGCACACAGGTTTTTTAATACACTCTAACAAACTAAAACTAAGCTTTAGCGATACTGGATAGCTCCATCGGTTCTAAACTGTTCTCCTTAGAGATCCAGTAAGAGTCATCTCTTGTTCATCCAGTGTTACTACAGGAGGAAACCTAAACTAAACTAACCTTATTTATACTGAATATAGCTCTATCAGTTCTGAACTGTTGTCCCTAGAGGTCCAGTAAGAATCATCCCTTATTCATCCAGTGTTACTACAGAAGGATCCCGCAACTGAACTCTAAACCCCAAGTATCAATTCAAGACCAGGGAATTACGTTATTTTATACCTGTTGGAAAAACACCAATCCAAGGCCCACCAACATTCTGTCTCTCATGTTCTCATGGCGGCCAAATAAATAACAAATATTATAGTTCTGAAAACAAGTGAAAAAGATACTGCAGGAGTCAGCTAATATACTCTACTGTGAAATGTAGACGCCGCAACAAGCGTAGCATGCGTCCTAACCCCCTCCCATTTTCCCTCGTTCTCTTTCTCTATAACCTTTGCCCCCCCCCCCCTTAGCTTCTCCCGCCCTCCCTAGACACAATACAACTGGGAGGGTTGTGCAAAGGTTGGATAACAATACCACTGAAAAGCTACTATTTCAAAAACTGCAAGAAAAAGCTGTGATACCACGGTTATGGACTCGAAAATATCTGCCACTTACCTGTTCTAAATTTAATGCATCCTTCATTTTTGATATTTCTTCTTCTGGCTCGCCACCATGGTTTAACAATGTCATCACACGCAATGCCTATAGATTGGTAAAATCCAGCTTTATGAATAAAGTTGAGCATGATATGAATAATCAGGGACGGATCTACAAATCTCAAATCAATGAAATCGTTTCAAGAAGTCGACACGCGCTAACAGTAGAAGTTTCGCTAATCGCTATTCGAAAAGCAGAAATGCCGATTTTTAGGGTGGTGCTGGATTTCTCTAGGGGGTGTTAGACACCACTAGGTCGGGTGCGCACCCCTGCATGCCATACCTTAGCATCTTGACCCTGACAGATAAGCCATCTTGGACTGGGTGGTAGAAAGATAATACCATAACCTTGAATTAATGCTGGGATTCCAGAAATACCAAACATGTAACGCCTAAATCATTAACAATACATACAACATTACACACTGCTGGGAATACTGTTCATACAACTTTGCAATATTTAACTGAATAGTAAGAACCATCCTTTTCTATCCAGTATCACTGCAGAAATAATCCTATTATAAACTGAGATAACTTTGTTATCAGTTCTAGAATGTCCTCCCTAGAGGTCCAGTTATTGATCTACTGTTACTAGAGAGGAAACCTAAACTAAACTAAGTTTGTTCATAACTGGATATAGCTTTATCAGTTCCAAACTGTTCTCCCCAGAGATCCAGGGAGGATCATCCCTTATTGATCCAGTGTTACTACAGGAGATAGCTCTACAGTTTGAAATTGTTCTTCCTAGAGGTCCAGTAAGGATCATCCCTTATTGATCCAGTGTTACCACAGGAGGAAACCTAAACTAGACTAACTTTTTTTATACTGGATAGCTCTATCAGTTCTAAACTGTTCTTCGTAGAGGTCCAGTAAGTGTGATCTCTTATTGATCCAGTGTTACAACAGGAGGAAATTTAAACTAAAGTAACTTTATTTATACAAGATAACTTTATCAGTTATGATCTGCTAATTACAGGATAATATTGGTCAGTATTGAAATGACACAAGGAGAGTCAATGTTATTTTTACTACGTAATGAACACGCACCAGCCATTGTCAGTATTGATAAATATAAAGTTAACCAGATATGCCAACAGCAAACCAGAAGCGATACCAATCTCATTCACACTGACCAACAGACCTCTCTTTTTCTGTAAAACAGAAAATTGCAACAGTGATTTATTATATTACTTTTACACCAATTCACACAACCTTACCTTACATCACCCCCACCTAATTTCATGACACTCCACCTCGATCACTCCTCTACCCCATTCCACCTCACCTCACACCACCTCACTTGCCCTCGATCATCTACACTAGCATGCAGGCTTAACTTGGCAGTAAAAGGCAGCACTATGCCCGCCCCTACCTGCAAACGGGCAAGCTCTGGGTACAAGATTGCAACTCTAACAGGTTCATCCACCTTAATCAGGTGGTGTGTCCCACTCCCATCAACAACTTTAAAATAACTAAAGCATGACATACTTACAGGAGGCGCAATTTCTGCAATATAAATGCATTCTGCAATGGCTGAAAGCGACGTGCCAAATCCAACTATAAGTCGACCAACAATCTAAAATAAACAAAACCAGAAGGTTTTTATAGATGGAAATGTATAGCAGTATAGGCCCTCTGTATAGCAGTATAGGCCCTCTGTATAGCAGTATAGGCCCTCTGTATAGCAGTATAGACCCTCTGTATAGCAGTATAGGCCCTCTGTATAGCAGTATAGGCCCTCTGTATAGCAGTATAGGCCCTCTGTATAGCAGTATAGGCCCTCTGTATAGCAGTATAGGCCCTCTGTATAGCAGTATAGGTCCTCTGTATAGCAGTATAGGCCCTCTGTATAGCAGTATAGGCTCTCTGTATAGCAGTATAGGCCCTCTGTATAGCAGTATAGGCCCTCTGTATAGCAGTATAGGCCCTCTGTATAGCAGTATAGACCCTCTGTATAGCAGTATAGGCCCTTTGTATAGCAGTATAGGCCCTCTGTATAGCAGTATAGGTTCTCTGTATAGCAGTATAGGCCCTCTGTATAGCAGTATAGGCCCTCTGTATAGCAGTATAGGCCCTCTGTATAGCAGTATAGGCCCTCTGTATAGCAGTATAGGCCCTCTGTATAGCAGTATAGGCCCTCTGTATAGCAGTATAGGCCCTCTGTATAGCAGTATAGGCTTTCTGTATAGCAGTATAGGCCCTCTGTATGGCAGTATAGGCTCTCTGTATAGCAGTATAGACCCTCTGTATAGCAGTATAGGCTTTCTGTATAGCAGTATAGGCTCTCTGTATAGCAGTATAGACCCTCTGTATAGCAGTATAGGCTTTCTGTATAGCAGTATAGGCCCTCTGTATAGCAGTATAGGACCTCTGTATAGCAGTATAGACCCTCTGTATAGCAGTATAGGCCCTCTGTATAGCAGTATAGGCCCTCTGTATAGCAGTATAGGTTCCCTGTATAGCAGTATGGGCTCTCTGTATAGCAGTATAGGCCCTCTGTATAGCAGTATAGACCCTCTGTATAGCAGTATAGGCTCTCTGGTAGGAAAGCGACCCTGCGATTCTGGTGCAGCGCTCTGAATAACTTTCCCCAGGGGGGGGGGGGAGAAGCTGTATGATTGACTTTTTCAGGGGAGATGCAAAATGATCTCAGGGGTGGTGTTCATCTCCCCACAAAATCCGATCACGTATGAAAGTGATGTTAGCTATTCACATATATTCAAACATCTACACATACTTGTACAGTTTACTGGTGAGTTTGACTTACGGTTTGTGAGCACTTATGGCTATGGAATGTTTAAAATGAACAATAAAAATGAATCTTTGAATTGTGGAGAAGAAACCTTTAAATTGTGGAGACGAATGGGGGGGGGGGAACACGCCCCCACGTTTTGCTGTGTCATTTTTCTACATAATACATGTAGCGGGGCAAAATGCCTTTTCCTTAAGGGAAATCATGATAGTGATCCTACAACTTTATATTGCTTCCTACAGTACAGCTCTGAAAAACGACAATAAATCTCAGTTGTTTCATGGTTTTCCCCTACCTGAGAAACCCCTACGATACATACACCATGCTAAGATACAGAATATTATGCAAAATAAATTTCAAAAACAAACAAATCATACCAAGGATGATAATCATGGATTAAAAAGCCCAGAATTATGTCGGCAAATCTTTCAGTTATGGACAAATCCTAAGTACTGAATAGAATACCCAAAACATTTTTTTCCTAATTTATATTAGAATGTTATAGGAAATAACAATATGTTTTAATACAAAATATGTGATGCTACGAAATTTCATGCAATAAGTATACGCATAATAAAATCACCACTGGACGTCGGGTATTTCATGACTTCAAAATATAGACGATCCCAGAGTAATTAAGATATTGGTGGGGTGCAATTTGTCTTTAAAAAGACAGCAGTCGAACTAGTTTATATGTTCTTGATGACAATCATTTCTCTCTATAACAGTAACTAACACCGATCTTACAATTATTTATGGTTGTAAAAGGTTCAATGTACATTGAAGATAATATTTCTATGCCGTCACAAATCACAAAATTTCACAAAATGCTAACGTTATATGATTGTTTTGTTGCTATCTCAAACGTGGGCATCAAGTGCGAGTGGTGTTATATAGCCCTAACCTCTACCCTCCTGATGAATGGACTTTGATTCAAACGACGAAGTGCTTCGGATCTTTTTCATGAAGTTCACACAAACCACGGCAGCTTTTTGACTTTTGTTGTATGCTCAGCATAACAACAGCATGTCGCCTTAACGGTATACGGTTCGTTTGGAATAAAAATATTCCATCACATGATATTATAACGCACGCCATATTTAGAAGGCTATAGAAATATTTTACATCAACTTACAAAAGTCCGTCTCAAAGTTAAGATGTCTGCTATAGTAAACGGAATAATAAATTCCACTGTCGGTTTATTGTGCAGTAAACTACGAGATTACACTGCAGAGAGTCTCATTGAAGGTGATTTAAATGACGAAAAATGCAGACAGATTGTTGTTCGCGAAATTGACGATATCAAGTCGAAGCTCGATGGTTTGTCGAGAAAGGACCTGCTTGCAAGTCTCAGCTTTTTCAAAGAAGGAGTTACCAGGTTGTATATTTCTCTCGAGACATCTGGTGAATCTCGTCATCAACCCAGCACTTTAAAAGCACACTTAGAACACGAATCTGAAGTCGAAGGCGCAACAGCGACGAGAGTTGAGCAGTTTTCTGTCACGCAAGCTGAACGCGATGCCTTAGAAAGCGTATGTAAACTTTCTGAAATCATTGGGAACTTAAAAATCGCATCGAAAGAACGCTACCAATCAGCCAAAGAGTCTTTTAAAAAAGCAAGGGAGCTGGCAACGGAAGCATTTAACAACGTAGCGTTGAGGGGAGAAGATAGATTGATGGCGAGCAAACTTCGCATTGCCAGCAGAATCCTCGAAGGCTTACAGGACCCAGAAGCAGCCGTTCATGACTGCTTACTCTACCTGAAAGAGCTACAGGATTTACCAGCAGTGCAAGCGATGTTTTCTGTATGGCAAGATTCTGATAAAGGGATTACATCACGCTTACGAGCTCGCTTCTACAAAGAGAAAAGGAATGTTAACGTAGAGTCGATACAAATGATCAACGCATTATTAATAAATCTCACCATCAAATTTACAAACATCAAGATGGGTATTTTGAACTGGCCAACGATAAAGATTAGTAACGATCTCCATCATCCACTGTTGGAAGACCATGCGCTTCAAAGAAAATTTGAAGAGAAAAAAACGAAGCTTCCTTGGTATGATGAATGTATCCGCGGCTATGTTTGTGCGGTAACTAGCAAAGGAGAAATGCTATCACATGTATGGGACGACGACAAGGGTATTAAAGTCACAAGAAGAAGCGGCAAGCACCAGTTGTTTTGTACCGTTCCCTCGAAAATATGTTGTTTTGCTGTCGATGAAAATGATAACGTATATATCGTCGTGGAAATCCCGTCATGCAATGAAAATGATCCTCCTCGATATAAATTATTGACCTTGGATTCTGGTGGTAACGTAAAGGCGGACATATTTCTTGACGTGATTGATGAACAGCTGGTTGATCCACGAATGAGTGTGACCAAAGATGCTATGATTGTTATCTGCTGTAAACACAGGAAAGCTATGTATATCTGCGACAGCACAAACACCAGGCAAGACTACAAATTTCCTTTTCCATTCAAAGATACACGTCCCGGCACATTCTCCGATTACAGCTTTACTGTTTCCAATAAAAATGAAATCATTTTTACTTTTGGTTACAATGATGAGAATAAACTCTTTTTGTACATCATTACAATCGATGGTAAACTAAAACGTAAAGTGGCAGTACCTTTTGAAAGAGAGTGGAATATTATACTTGGTGCACTGAGTGTGGTCTTTAATCATGTCAACGAAACAATTCTTGTCAGTTTATTCAATGGAAATCTTCGTAATCCTACTACTACGATCTTCTGTTTCTCAGACACTGGTGAATTGCTGCATCAGTTTGATATCCTGGGTGGGTATCGACAGCTCTTATCACATCGTGCAAACGGACATATCTTTTTGGTCAACCATGCAGAAGCCATTATGCTTCAAATGTAGCAAAAATATAAGCAGCGCATACAGGAACGGGGATAGATCCAGCCAGATCTAGCGGGGGGGGGCAGGGGCGGTTTTTTTTGCGGTGGTCATTAGAATGAATGTGATAGTAAAATCTCGCAATTGCAAAGAAATGTCAACAATTATTACCATCACTTAACCTTATATATGTATATATATTCCTTGTGATCGTTTGAGTACTCTGGCCTGATGGTACTCTGCGCATACATAGATACGTTGATGTCACTGTGTTGCACCACATGCGCATGGTGACAGCAAGCTTATGTGTATAAGTACGGTGGTCATCACGTATCGAGACGTGCAACAAGCTGCATTGACGCGTAGAACGCCGAAACATTCATAACATCATATATAATACATCATCTCAGATATCCATGCACCCAACATCCGTTTATCCGGTATCTGTAGATCTGGTATCCGTTTATCTGGTATCTGACTATCCAGTATCCGTGTTATCTGCCATGTCTTTCTTAGCCTGAGTGTCAGGCTCTATGCCTTTCTAAAATATGGATTTCCAAACTATTTACGTTATATGCATATCCAAATCGTTAAAGATTTCTAAATTATATCATGAACTCCTAAATTGTACTATACACGTCTAAATTATGTTAGGGGAATACTTAATTTGGGTTCGGATATGTAGAATAAAAATTGAGTACATGAATAACAGATTTTGAAAGTGCATTTTGACATGAATATAAACGCTTCATAACAACGAAGTTATTACGACATATGTTTGTTGAATGATTCCATGGCGATAAAATAATATTTTCTTTTGTTTATAGAAAACTGATCACGCTTACTTATTATTCCTAAGCTTTCCATCTACAAGCTAGGTTGATCAATCAAGCAATGTGACTACCAGTAGTAAATTATACCCAGCTTTATTTCAACACATATCGCAACAACTATTACAACTCAATCTAAATCTACGCATGTATATGCCACCATGGATGAACATTCCTATTTTAGATGAACTTGTGGTTAGAGCTCGACAACTGCATGGACTCTGTAGCTCAGTTGGTTAGAGCGCTGCACTGGAATCACAGGGCTGCAGGTTCAATTCCTACCAGAGAACCTACATATAGTTGCGCTTAGTTGGTTAGAGCGCTGTACTGGAATCACAGGGCTGCAGGTTCAATTCCTACCAGAGGGCCAACATATAGTTGCGCTTAGTTGGTTAGAGCGCTGTACTGGAATCACAGGGCTGCAGGTTCAATTCCTACCAGAGGGCCTACATATAGTTGCGCTTAGTTGGTTAGAGCGCTGTACTGGAATCACAGGGCTGCAGGTTCAATTCCTACCAGAGGGCCTATATATAGTTGCGCTTAGTTGGTTAGAGCGCTGTACTGGAATCACAGGGCTGCAGGTTCAATTCCTACCAGAGGGCCTACATATAGTTGCGCTTAGTTGGTTAGAGCGCTGTACTGCAATCACAGGGCTGCAGGTTCAATTCCTACCAGAGGGCCTACATATAGTTGCGCTTAGTTGGTTAGAGCGCTGTACTGGAATCACAGGGCTGCAGGTTCAATTCCTACCAGAGGGCCAACATATAGTTGCGCTTAGTTGGTTAGAGCGCTGCACTGGAATCACAGGGCTGTAGGTTTGATTCCTGCCAGAGAGTCTACATATAGTTGCGCTTAGTTGGTCAGAGCGCTGCACTGGAATCACAGGGCTGCATGTTTGATTCCTGCCAAAGAACCTACATATAGTTGCGCTTAGTTGGTCAGAGCGCTGCACTGGAATCACAGGGCTGCATGTTTGATTCCTGCCAAAGAACCTACATATAGTTGTGCTTAGTTGGTTAGAGCGCTGCACTGGAATCACAGGGCTGTAGGTTTGATTCCTGCCAGAGGGCCTATATATAGTTGCGCTTAGTTGGTTAGAGCGCTGCACTGGAATCACAGGGCTGTAGGTTTGATTCCTGCCAGAGAGTCTATATATAGTTGCGCTTAGTTGGTTAGAGCGCTGCACTGGAATCACAGGGCTGTAGGTTTGATTCCTGCCAGAGAGTCTATATATAGTTGCGCTTAGTTGGTTAGAGCGCTGCACTGGAATCACAGGGCTGCATGTTTGATTCCTGCCAGAGAGTCTACATATAGTTGCGCTTAGTTGGTCAGAGCGCTGCACTGGAATCACAGGGCTGCATGTTTGATTCCTGCCAGAGAACCTACATATAGTTGCGCTTAGTTGGTCAGAGCGCTGCACTGGAATCACAGGGCTGTAGGTTTGATTCCTGCCAGAGAGTCTACATATAGTTGCGCTTAGTTGGTCAGAGCGCTGCACTGGAATCACAGGGCTGCATGTTTGATTCCCGCCAGAGAACCTACATATAGTTGCGCTTAGTTGGTCAGAGCGCTGCACTGGAATCACAGGGCTGTAGGTTTGATTCCTACCAGAGAACCTACATATAGTTGCGCTTAGTTGGTTAGAGCGCTGCACTGGAATCACAGGGCTGTAGGTTTGATTCCTACCAGAGAACCTACATATAGTTGCGCTTAGTTGGTCAGAGCGCTGCACTGGAATCACAGGGCTGTAGGTTTGATTCCTACCAGAGAACCTACATGGTGATACGAAACTCAAAATCCTTTCAGAAATTTCATGTTGTTCCGAACACGAAATCTTATGGCTTCATTTAAAACCTAGACGACTTCCTCGTGAATTTTCCTCAATCATAGTTGCCGTCCTATACCACCCCCCCAGTGCCGACGATTTCAGCATGCAGAGTCACTTATTTCAGACACTGAGCGAAGTCGAAGCAAAATTTTACAACTGCGGTATTATCATTGCTGGGGATTTCAATCGTCTTAATGTGAATCATATAATTAAGCATTTTCGGTTGAAACAAATAGTTAAATCACCAACTCGAGGCGAAGCAATACTTGATCTTATATTAACTAATATGCACGAGTTCTACAAGTCTCCGCAAATACTCCCTCCAATTGGATTATCTGATCACAACACAGTTGTAGTTTCACCCACTCACATTGTGAAGAAAGCAAAATCTACATTTGTATACAAACGAGACCTTCGTCAGAGTAAGAAAGATGCCTTGGGGAGATTTTTACAATCAATCCTTTGGCCTGAAATTTTTTCTCAATCACAAAGCTGTGAAGATATGGCGAATTTTATTTAAGACATTGTAGCTATTGGTCTTGACCTCCTCATGCCAATTAAACGGATTAAGAAAATCTCTGCAGATGTTCCTTGGATGACCGATAAATTGAAAACATTTATAAAAAAAAAGACAAGAAGCCTTTTTCAGTTACGGTCCAAAATCCAACTGCTTTAAATATTACCGAAATATTGTCAATCGCGAGAGAAAAGCGTGTAAATCAAAATACTATACGACCCAGGTTCACAGTAAAGAAAAAGATAACCCTAAAGCTTGGTGGAGTGAAATCAAACGCCTAGGAGGAATGAAATCAATGAACAGCTCCCTAATAAATTTGATAAATATCGCTGGTTTTGAAGATATATCGGAACAAGAACTAGCAAACAGAATAAATACAGCTTTTCTTGAACCCTTATCAGAATATCAACTATCTTCACCGTTAGAGCGACTTAACTTAGAGGAAAACCCAGATTTCTTAGAAGTTTCTGAAGAAAGGGTTTTATCACAGCTACAAAAACTCAACCCCAGTAAAAGTGGTGGCCCTGACGAAGTGCCCAATTGGCTCTTGCGAGAGTATGCTGTAATCCTTGCCCTCCCAATTAGTCTACTCCTAAATGCATCCTACAAACAACAACGCCTACCTGCAATATGGAAACTTGCGAATGTTTCACCGCTGCCAAAAGTAAAAATAGTACAGGACCTGAAAAAAGAACTTAGGCCCATTTCATTAACACCTAATATTTCGAAGGTTGCAGAGCATTTCGTTGTTAATGATTATGTGAAACCAGCTGTTTTGAAGAAAATTGACCCCAATCAGTATGGAGCAATCCCTAAATCATCGACGATTTTTGCTCTTCTTAGTATGGTGCATAACTGGACCTCCGGGCTTAACGGTACCGGTTCTACAACTAGAATCATTCTATTCGATTACCAAAAAGCTTTTGATCTAATTGATCACAGAATTTTGTTCAATAAACTACTTCAGTTAGATCTACCACGAAGTGTTATAAATTGGATTATTGATTTCTTAAGTAACAGATTCCAAAGAGTCAAACTTTCACAAGGATGTTTTTCAGATTGGGGTGCAGTACCTTCGGGCGTCCCTCAAGGCACCATTTTAGGTCCATGGCTCTTTTTAATCCTGATAAATGATTTATCTATCGCAAATACTGACTTATGGAAATACGTGGACGATACGACAGTATCGGAAACAGTTGACAAAAACCAACAGAGTAGAGCACAGACAATTGCTAATGAGATGTCACAATGGTCCCAAAACAATAAAATGAAGCTGAATGAAGAGAAATGTAAGGAACTCCGTATTTCCTTCTCAAAAGTCCCTCGTGATTTTAACCCGATACTTATTAACAATAAAAGTATTAGAGTCGTAAAATCCGTTAAACTTCTGGGCTTGTCATTCGATAATAACCTGACGTGGAATCTACATATCGAAGAGGTAGTTAAAAAAATATCCAAACGAATCTATTACCTGATCCAACTCAAACGGGCCGGTATTCCTCGGAATGATCTGGTTCTATTTTATGTTACATGTATTCGATCTGTTATCGACTATGGTATCCCTGTCATTTACTATTCGTTGCCAAAATACTTGCGTTCCGAATTGGAAAGATTACAAAAAAGAGCTATTAGAATCATCTGTCCAAACACTAATTACGAAGACGCTTTAATTAGTTGTGGATTGGAGTCACTGTCTGTTCATCATGAAAATATTTGTACTAGTTTATTTCAAACAGTAGTTGCTGATGAAAATCATAAGTTACGAAGTTTACTGCCACCTATACATACTTCTTTTTATGATTTAAGAAACGATAGGAAATTTGAAATTCCTAGATGTAACACTAATCGTTTTCAAACTAGTTTTTTTGTGGCTTCGTGCCGCAAATCATTTATCTAATGTTATTGAAATGACCTAATATTTTTAATAATTTTAAATTTTTTAGTATATTAAAGTAATAAACATCTTGTATATATAATATTTATATGGAATGTCATCATAATGGCTTGATAAACTCTTCTTTTATATTCTCGTAATTAGTTAAATTTACTTGTAAAAAAATACGCAATTCAGCCTATGGCTGCGAAGTATTTTATTAAATCTATCTATCTATCTATCTATCTATCTATCTATCTATCTATCTATCTATCTATCTATCTATCTATCTATGCCGGAATATCACGGAATATCACGACATTTTCCCGGAATATACCGGAAATCACAATATTTTCCGATGGTAGCCATGCGACTGTTTATAAACATGGACGTCTGACAACATATTTTATTACAAAAGTGATGGGTCTTTCCCATTTTGACGGTAAGTAACAAAAAGTAACTCCATACTGGAAGTTTTATATGTTGTTTATATCATTATTACGAGTGTTCACCAAAAATATTGAATCAATATGATTAATTCCGCCTGAGTTACAGCGTCTTGAAAAACAAAAGTGCTGACGTCAGCATTATTTTCGAACGCCTTCAGAACTGTGTTATACAAAAATTTAGTTAAAATTGACCATTTTATACCACCAAGCATTTATCCAAAAATCAAATGCTAGAATAAAGGCAAGTTTGAGCCAGTTGTTTATATCAGGTAAGAAGTTCCGTCTAAATTTTGTGTATAAAAGGCTCGTTCACACTTGCAGTTTTTACTGCGATTTTAGGTGCGATTTTCACTGAGAAGAACTAGCTGATGGATGTGAACGAGTGGATAAGTTATGAATGTTCAGATGAGGGTACATGTACTCCGAACATCCAGTGGCGTGCTGGGTACTATTTTTCTGGAGGGGCCAGTGGGCTGTCAACCAATATGCGCCCCTATAATGTTACACTCGATAAATGAGGGCCGAAGGGACGAACCGAGTGCCACAGGTGCGAGGTTTAATTGTCTAGGGGGGTCCGGGGGCATGCCCCCCTGGAAAATTTTTGAATTTAGAGTCTCTGAAATGCCATTTCCTGGACTTTGGGGGAAGATTTGACACTGAGAAATCTGATGGTCTGGAAACGGCATTATAACGTGTCAAAATTTGCAATTTGGTTAGAATTTAGTAGTAGAATTTAAATTATGCAATGCTAACTACTTCCAGCGATTAATCTAATCCCAATTCTGTTCTCTACTGATATACATTTACAACTTAACCCACGCATATGTATTTTAAGGTTTCCTTGTCTGGCTGCCAAAAGGGCATGTTTCAGCATTATTTCATTACTTACATTACTCAGGCTTCTTGTGCAAACAACTAAATTGCGTACACAACTTTACATCAGTTATCATAACTTCAACTATCTAATTTGCGCCGCTCTCGTGATTCGTGAAGCATAATAAAGGGCATAATATAAGGGCATAATACCAGCAAAAAAAGGGCATAATTCCCGTGATCGCTTCGATCGAAACCTGACCAATATTCCGGTAATGAGACATTGCCTGTGATCACTGATCATGTTTCTATATGAACGATTTCGTGTGAGGAGGTAGCAAATACGGTTAGGCAAAATAGTCTGTAATTTAATATATGTCGCCTATGCGCTTAGTCTGTTTTATACTGTAGCCTATAAACACGTCTTTTCTTGGCGGAAGTAACCATATTTTTTCGAGAATGCGTTTTTTCCCACCCATGCACTTTCAAAATTCGGCGCCCCATTTTCATTTTTGCGCCCCCAAGAATTGCCAGCTGGGGGGGCTGTGGCCCCCCGGCCCCCCCTGCCAGCACGCCACTGCGAACATCTACTCGTTTACATGCATTAAAAGGAGGAAATCGCAGTAGAATCACAGTTCTGAAGGCGTTTGAAAATACTGCTGATGTCAGCACTTTTGTTTTTCGCGCTGTAACTCAGGAGGAATTAATCATATTGATTCAATATTTTTGGTGAACACTCGTAATAATGATATAAACAACATATAAAACGTCCAGTATGGAGTTACTGTTTGTTACTTACCGGCAAAATGGGAAAGATCCATCACTTTTGTAATAAAATATGTTGTCAGACGTCCATGTTTATAAACAGTCGCATTGTTACCATCGGAAAATATTGTGATGTTCCGGTATATTCCGGGAAAATGTTGTGATATTCCATGATATTCCGCCATATTCCGTGATATTCCGCCATATTCCGTCATATTCCGGGTTTTCACAACGCCCCTCTATACTGGAAGTTTTATATGTTGTTTATATCATTATTACGAGTGTTCACCAAAAATTTTGAATCAATACGATTAATTCCTCCAGAGTTACAGCGTCTTGAAAAATAAAGGTGCTGACGTCAGCATTATTTTCGAACGCCTTCCGAAATGTGATATACACAAAGTTTAAATGGTTAAAAATTCTTGGTTAAGGTTAAGACTAAGACGGGACTTCTTACCTGGTATAAACAAGAATTTAAACATCTTGGCTCAAACTTGCCTTTATTTTAGCATTTGATTTTTGGACAAATGCTTGGTGGTATATTAAAAATGGCCATTCAATTAACGTTAGACACATGCACATGTGTTTACCGAAAAGAAATTGGTTGGGATGATTTTGTATACAGTCAAGTAAAAATAAAATACTTGCCAATCGATGATTGAACATAATCACAAGAAGACAAACATGTGACATAACACCCAAACGCATCTAATACTAAATATACTAAGCCTAATAAGCCTAAGATTCTTCGAAAGTTGTGGGTTTTCTCTGGGTACTCCGGTTTCCTCCCACAGGGAATGTCGACCCCCTAACTGACCCCTTCTACCGTAGCAGTGCTCTCAGAGATGAGTCATAAGGTAGCTTGCCTTCGACTTCATGAGTCCATCCCATTCACTCACTTACTACACGATGATTCTACTAATTACTGGACGATGACGACGAAATTTTAGGTACGTTAATCTTATGACTATATGCTGATAATATTCATGTTTATTTCATGCAGGTTTCGCCTACAAGCAAACACAAAATGGCCATTTTTAATATACCACCAAGCATTTGTCCAAAAATCAAATGCTAAAATAAAGGCAAGTTTGAGCCAAGATGTTTAAATTCTTGTTTATACCAGGTAAGAAGTCCCGTCTTAACCTTAACCAAGAATTTTTAACCATTTAAACTTTGTGTATATCACATTTCGGAAGGCGTTCGAAAATAATGCTGACGTCAGCACTTTTATTTTTCAAGACGCTGTAACTCTGGAGGAATTAATCGTATTGATTCAAAATTTTTGGTGAACACTCGTAATAATGATATAAACAACATATAAAACTTCCAGTATAGAGTTGTTGTTTGTTACTTACCGTCAAATTGGGAAAGATCTATCACTTTTGTAATAAAATATGTTGTTAGACGTCGGTCCATATTTATAAACAGTCGCATGGCTACCATCGGAAAATATCGTGATGTTCCGGTATATTCCGGTAAAAATGTCGACGTCGTGATATTCCGTGATATTCCGCCATATTCCGTGATCTTCCGCCATATTCCGTGATATTCCAGCATATTCCGTGATATTCCGCCATATTCCGGCATTCCGGGTTTTCGCAACGCCCCGCCGACGCCGACACATCAGAAACGAAACATGTTTCTTGCAGGCATGCAATTTTCTAAATGCAATTTTCTAATACCTACCCCGTTGCGAACACATCTTGTTGACAAGTTGTGAGATTTTTACGTGTGGGACGGGAAACTCGTCCAAGACGAGAAACTCGTCTAGATATGAATTCGGTTAACGACGGGTTTTCCGTCTCCACTTTTCCGTCTCAACTTTTCCGTCTAACTTTCCCGTCTGAACGACGGGAAAGTAAGACGAGTTTCTCGTCTTAGACAGGAAACTCGTCTTAAACTTATATCAGACGAATAAATCAAGACGGGTTTCTGGTCGTAACGTATGCCTTTTACTATCGATTCTTAATCTGTTACTATTATTATATTAAAATATTTAGTTGTTAATCAGTGCGCTTACAAGTTAAAATCTCTACAGTACAAGTGCTAGATTTTGGTCTATATTTAGCCATTGTTATTGATTGTAGTTAATTTTATTGGAGAAAATGCGCTAACTATAGTAATTCATTGCTCATCAACTTTTGATTTCGCACTTTTCTTGCAGACAATTTTGCGCGCACATTTCAAATACTTTTTGCGCTCTTATAGACACACAAAAAGGTAGGACCCTAGACCAACCACAGCTTATTGTGGAATACCTACACCGGAGCCCATGTTTATTACACTTTTTCAATTTTAATGGTTTTTTCAAAACCGGTCAAATGTAAGATTGTGAAATTTGATTTCCATGATTCGTTGAGTTAATTCATCTACACAACTGTGGACATATAATACACGCTTCAGAAAAGTACGTCACCTTGGCTAAAGTGACGTACTTTTCAGAAGCGTGTATTTTGGACAAAACTTGTTAATAGAATTCTAGTAATATATCAGGGTTCGTACATGTCAGGAAGAGTCAAATTCAAGGACTTTTTGCGGACATTCAAGGCCATGTACCAGCAAATTCAAGGACTAAATACTGAAGAAAAGGCGTTAGAAATCAGCAAAATCTGACGTTGAACTGTTCAAAACGTAACTTTATAATGAGGTCAGATATGAACATGCAAAATCAGTTCAACAAAATGTCCGTCTTGAATGTCAAACAATTTCAGAAAATATCCAAAAACTAAAGCAAGAAGAATTCAAGGTCATTCAAGTACTTCTTTACAAATTCAAGGACATTCAAGGCCTTGAATTTTTGTTTTCAAATACAAGGACATTCAAGGACTTTCAAGTTTTGTACGAACCCTGATATATGCTAGAATGAGTGTTTAAATTGTCGTATGATTCCTAGACCTACAATCATGGCAAAAATTCCGTGGATGCTTACTGTTCATGTACACACATTGGCATCTTTATTTCCCCCGCTTCCCCGTACAATGTTGGTTATGACATTCTATTTCACAAAGCTTTCACCCAACCAAATTATAAGCTTTCAACTTTGAACGGGGGGAGGGGAAGTTGAAAATTGCTGTTGGATGGATATAATTGGGCAAGGCAGGTATTTCTATGCGCGCGCCATCCACAATAATTTTTGCCAGGATTGTAGATCTTACTTAATTAAATATTCCTCTTAACTCTAAACAATGTTAGGAGTCTGGAGTACGAGGAAAAGAATTGCAATTAAATGGCGCAGAAAACGTGTTCCCCCTATTTTGAACAATTTTATATTCCGATTACATGAAGGCTTTTCAGACCAGCCCAGGCTGAATTTCAATCGGGTTAACCGAGATGTAATTAGGCCGAAATTAAAGGATTTTATAGAAATTTATAAGAAACAAGGCTGGGCTGAAGATGCTATGTAATCGGCCACTTATTATTAACAGTTTTGTCCAGGATTGTAGTTCTCGTCCCTACAATCCAGATTAAAGTTGTTAGTTCTTGTGTACACTATCACGCGTTTATTTCTACATCTGAATAGAGCGGATTTGTTTTAAAGATTTGATGCAGTTCTGCAAACGTAGGACGTTTCTCAGACTGTAAATCCCAACATCTTAACATAAGTTGATACGTATGTTCTGGACATTTGTCTGGTTTTTCCAATCTCTTTCCTTGGGTTTCCACCATTTCCATTACCTAAACATGGGACCAGGCAACTTAAGCAAAATGCTGTCATAATTTGTTACAGCATTTAAGTATAATACCAGAGAATTCAGGGCAGACCTGGAAAAAGTGTTCAATGTTCTTCGGATCCTGAATTTGTCTTTTTCAAATGTTCCTCAATTATATTGGTTGTAAAATTGCTCAGGAAACAAAACAATCTTCAAATTCTATTAACAGGATATGAAGAACACTTCGCAATCTCAAAATAGACTCAAATGGCAGATAACTAAATATGATTCCTTAAAATTCTCCCTTACAGTACGCGTGAAAAATTCAAAATGTTCCTCAATCTTGTTGCTAAGGCAAATGTTCCTCAGGATCCGGAGATCCCATTTTTTTCCAGGTATGATTCAGGGTAAAAAAATTGGAAACTGGAAGAGTGACTCAGTGGAAGAGGATCATTGTTTTGTTTTTAGAGGGACTAAACGGATTTGTGCTGTTATATCACGTAGATCAGGTTGTTACTTGTATAACTGCCCTAATGGTTTTCACAGGGAACATAATATCTTGAGCCCCACCCTCAAATTATACACCAAGCTTCAGGGTGTATACCTTGCTGTCCGTCGCTGCCGGAATGAACGCCTCAACGCGTCTTGTTTCAATATGATGCAAAAGAAATATGTGCTTTAGCAAAACTGACCTAAGTTTGTAATTTTGATTATATTTACCTGTGCGCCAGACATTTCTCCATATGGTTGCTCTCCAAATGAAAACATTTCCCACAATGTGACACCGTAACTCCATACATCACTCTCATGAGAGAATCTGCCATAGTTTATAGATTCAGGAGCGTACCTGAACACATAACGACAGCCAAGTTTACAAACTATGGCCCAGTGTTCTTCTATTACAATGAAGTGTCGTATATGAACAAAGTGGAAAGGCAGTGGGAGTGCCCATATCAAGTCCCTTATACAGGGTGTATCAAAATAAACGCAATTCATCTTTTTTGCTTAATAACTTTCGAAATACTATTTCTAGTTAAACGCTTTTAGGCTTACTTCAAAGCCTGTTCTTTTCTCTTTCAAACAAACTATTATCCTTGTCTCCAATGCTAGTAATAATTGCACAGAAAAAGATTTAGTAAAACCTATCATTAAAAGATTTAGTAAAACCTATCAAGTTTACTATGTTATTGTTTAGTCGGTTTAAATGTTAGAATTTTCTTCTTTAAACTTTAATGTTGTCGTCACTACATCTGGAAAACTACGTAAGAACAAATTAAAAGTATTTTAAAAGAGACCAGGTTGTTTGAAAATCCTAAACGAATGCTAAAATTCGTCAAAACATTCTGGTGTCTGAGCCAGAGTGTCATCGAATTGCGATGTAATGTAAACAGAAATTATAGCAAGTTGATGTCAGTCAGCTTAGATGGTCCAAGCCAAAATTATATCGCATTTGAAGTTTCAAACTGAGTTAAAAATAGTGGAAGAAAAGCCGTAATTATACTTATTGTTACAATCCATTTAATAAAATGCAACATTTTTTTGTTTTAATGAAAAAATCAGTTATTTTCATGAGAACGATTTGTTATTCCATCTCAATTTTTTTAATCTCCAATCGCAATAACGTAAAGTATTATTACCCGCGAACCAATGAGTCAAATTTAAGAAACAACCCACTGTTAGAAAGCTGAATGGCTACGTTTTAAAATGAATGTAAACTTTAACGTTTTCGTCTATTATTTGTTTAGCAATTTACATTTCAGTCGAGGATTGCGCTTTTTTTATACACCCTGTATAAACGACTATATTGTTATATGGCTAGGGTGAACACCAAACATGATTGGCTGATTTGTGCTCACGTGGCTTTTAGATAAATGCAATGTATCTCGCAGGGCAACAAGTGAAAAATTGTTGCCCGCCCCGACCGACTATACGCACATAAATAAACAAAATGGCGGCAAAACTCGCATAATTAGAAACTATGGTTTTCCAAGTTTGTGTTCAAATAAAGAATGTAAAATAGAAGAACAATACACAACAGGCAACAGGATATGCTGCTGAAACCGTTTAAGCAGGTTCTTTTTATCTTTTCATTTTAAACTCGTTCGTATAGAGTTTTTGTTACGAAATACAATTGTTGCATGAATGTTGATTTTTGTTCGTCGCTATATAACAAAACACATAATGTCTTTCCTCGAAGCAGAAAAACGCGCTATCGTTGCCACGGAAGCGAAGATAAATATCTGGGGCCGGTTGTATAAAAACGTAGTTAAAGTTAACTGCAGTTAGCGATAACTACCGTAGTTAAATCCTTAAATTGTAGTTAGTTAACTACATGAGTCATGACTTAACTGCGTTGCACAAAACGTAGCTAGTCGGGTAGTTAACTAATCACGTGTTAACTGTGCGAGGAGCATACATGGGGCAAGTAAGGATTGATTAACGACCGCTGACAAGCATTTATAACATGATTGTGGACTCATATTTTGCAAATAGGCGGGAATTTGATTCAGAAATGTCAAATACGCCAATATATTTGGTGTATACGGCGATTTCACTAGGGGGCAAGACCGCCGCAAAAATCACAAAAGAAGGCAGTTTTCTGTGAGATGTCTACGTTAAACCAAAGTGTAGCTGTTTGGCAATTATATATCAGTGTTTCTTCATGTAATGGATCTTACTTCGTCTTCGAGAATTTTTCTTGTGCAAAAATATATTCTGTTTTCGCAAAAAAAGGGTTAGCGTTTGAAGAGTTTACATTGTCACAAAACATTCAAGGGAAACGGGAAGATGGCGATTTAAAATCCCAGGCAAGCGTTGCTTTTCATTATTGTTTTATTTAAAAGTTTTGTTCACTCCTGTACAAGCGCCATTTTTAACTACGTTTTGAGAAGTTAATGATACCTTAGGTTAGAGTATAATTAACAAGACGCCTGCTCAGGCGTTCACACTGACCTGAAAATGACGACATATTAATAATAATTTAATTTAATAAAATACCGATTTGTAACCTGTAGGTTAAATTACATCAGTAAAAAGTCTCATTATACTACAATATGAATATCTAAATGCATAAAATTATTCATAACTTCAGTTGAAAAAGTTATAGAGTTCAAATTTAAAAATATTAAAATTATGGTCTATTCATATGTGAAACCATCTGTGGAAAAAACGATTTCATAAATCTGTCCGTTTTACAACTATAGTTATTATAATCGCTTCCATAACGTGTGTTATAGTTATGATCAAGTTTAGGCGGTAAGAGATCACCCAATTTGTCTCCATGTGCATTTTTAACAAAAAAACGTTCGCATAATAATCGCCGCCGATCTTTCAGTAAGGGTATACCAGTAATACTGCAAGCTTCTCTGTAAGTAGCGAATGGCAAGACAATACGCAGAGCCCGCTTCTGGAGTTTTTCGCCGATATCTTCACTTAGGTATTCTGTAATATTGAAGTGCCAAACTTGGCAGGCATATTCGAGTACTGGTCTGATAATGGTGCAGTATACCAAAATTAGAATGCTATTGTCGGCATTTGATCGTTTTAACAACCTTAGCATATAAAGGCGTTTTCCCGCTTTTTTTAACAATATGGTTCACATGCTCGTTCCATTTCAAATCATCTTGAATTGAAAGACCAAGAATTCGGGCAGATTTTACCCGCTCAATACCAACGTTATTTATAGTTAACGGTAAGAACTCATGTTTTTCTCTTGCAAAGTCAATTACCATTTCCTTACATTTGCCGATGTTGAGCTTCATATTATTAACTTCACACCAATTATAGATAACATTCACTAGATCTTGTAGTTCACTACTCTCAGTTGATGTAACTCGTTCAGCAAACGTACTGTCATCAACATACTTCCATCTATCGCTCCAATCAATAAGAAGATCATTTATCATAACAAGGAACAAAGCCGGCCCTAACACCGACCCTTGCGGCACTACACCGTTTAACGTTTGCCAGTCCGAATGACAGTTAGCCAACTTGACTCGTTGTTTACGATCAGAGAGAAAACTTCTAATGCAATTTATAATGGTTTGGGAAACACTCATTTGTTGTAGCTTATTCACCAGTATGTTGTGATCTATTCGATCAAAAGCTTTTTCAAAATCAAGCAAGAATACTCTCACCGCATTGCTTGAAGCATCTGTAGCACTCAGGAGGTGATGGGTCAGGCTCAGTAGGGCATGAGTAGCCGAGGAATTTTTAACGGAGCCAAACTGCCGCGTATCAATCTTTGTGTAAAGCCCAAATTATAATTTATGATTACTGAGTCAGTCGGTATGCAGGCTCAAAACCAAACGTTATTTAAGGGCGAATTTCGGCCTATTCAGTTTTGTATATGTTAGAACTTTGTTGAAGAACGATAAACAGAAGACTGTTGAGATATATTATTTATGTGACAACTAGAGCGATTCCCTCATTGTGAGGTAAGACATTTGTATCATGTATACGTATGTATTTAGTATTATTGTTGTAAAATCGACTTATAGGTAGGATTCATTCTTTTATATAACTTATTAATTAAATAAAGTGAAGAAAATATAATCTGTCGTGTCTATCTCGTAACGGGGAATTCGAATTCGTAGCACTTTGGTTGGTACACTTTGCACCAATTGACTTAAGTAACCTGTCTGTAACAAACCGTTCGCAAATTTTGGATAAAGTGGTGGTAAGTGAGATAGGGCGCAAATCTTTAGAAATGTCTTTAGGGACTGATTTTTTTTGAACAGGGATAACGTTCGCTTTTTTCCACATTGAGGGTACAACTGCTTCTTGAATCGAAGCGTTGAAAATCGATGCCACAGGGGAAGAAAGAACATATATGCATAAGATTTAAGCACCCAATTAGGTATTCCGTCAGGACCAGGTGATTTGGAAACGGGGATGGCGGACAATTTACAGTATACATCTTTTTCTTCGATAATAAACTGTGGAAGGATACTTGTACTGCCATTTTCAATTAGGTCATCAGCTGGAGACTTATTCAAGGGAGGAATATCTTGGGTAGATGAGACAAAAACATCATTGATTTTATCTGCTAACTCTTTACCAGCAAAAACCTGGTTGTTTACAACGAAATTAGAGAATGTTTTGTTCTTGGCGCCGCAAGCTGTTTTATACATTGCCACCATTTTTTAGCATTGGGGTTTAGTTTTAACTCATCCATCTTTTTCTTAAGGAAGGTTGACTTGAGTCTCTTACTTTCTCTATTGGCAAGATTTCTCAATCTACGATATAGCAAACTTTTGCCCTGACGGAACGCTCTTTGTCTATTTTCTATAATTTTCTTAAATTCGACTGTAACCCATGGTTTATCATGATCGTGCAACTTTACAATTTTACTAGGGAAAAAACAGTCCAAACCAGTATTTATAACTGTTTGAAAAAAATCTAACTTTTGTTCACATGATTCAGCGCGGTACAAGTTGTTCCAGTTTATAATTGCTACCTTGTCTAGTTTTCACTTTTGAGGTACCACATTTAGCTGTATTTTTATTAAAGGACCACAGTACGGAGTTATGGTCACTTTGGCCAACAGGGGGTAATAACACCCGAGAGTTACAACAGGAAGACATATTTGTCAAAATTAAGTCCAATGTGGAATTTCCTCTTGTGGGTTCTTTAACTATCTGTTTCAAAGTAAAATGACGTAGTAAGGAGGAAATTGGGCATTTATTAAAGTCTCCAATGAGAAAAATACCAGCGTTGGGGTACAATACAAGAGCAGCGTCAAGTTTAGATGTTAGGTGATTGATTAAGGCACAGTTATCATTGGAGGGAGGGTGATAGACCACACAGATAATCAGGCAGGAAAAGCCACGGAAAAGTTTATTTGGTCTCAGGTAAAGCCAAAGTGATTCAAAATTGTCTTCATGCAAATCTGTTAAGATTTTAAAAGGAATCTGGTCTTTAATATAAGCACAAACGCCACCCCCAATTCTTGAAATTCTATCACGCCGAACTAAGGAAAAGCCACTAATTTCAACGGCACCGTCATCAATATTTTCATTTAGCCATGTCTCAGTTATAAAGGCCAACCCAACCTCATTCATATGCAAAATAGTTTTCAGTTCATCAATCTTAGGTAAAAGTGATCGAGAGTTCGCTTGAAAGAAAGTTAATAACTTTCGCGGAAGGCGAAGGGAAACGGAGGTTGGACAGGGATTTCCATTAAGGTTTTCGGGCAATGTTGAAAAAACCGAGCAAACTGGGAGTAACTTTGAGGACTTCGGTTGACACTCATTCCGTGTATTCTTAAATGTGGGACCATAGGAGGACGATGGTAAGGATGGTAAGAGAAAAATGGTGGGTTGGGATGGTTATTAACAGGCCGTGATGCCGTTCTGTTATGATTGGTACTGTAGGAAAAATCACACCCGCTACCCTTTAAGCAATAGCCTCGATTTTGCAAAAAGGGACAGGGCACCAAATGTTATTGTTCACCACGTGGATGTTTAAAATCGCAACGCCTTCCCTTTGCACACCACTCTCGACGCTTAAAAAATGGGCAGGGTATAGTGCCT